CCCCCTTTTCTCTTTCCCTCTCCCCCTTTTCCTCTTCCCCTTCTCCCCCTTTTCCTCTTCCCCTTCTCCCCCTTTTCCTCTTCCCCTTCTCTCCCTTTTCCTCTTCCCTTTCTCTCCCTTTTCCTCTTCCCCTTCTCTCCTTTTTTCTCTTCCCCTTCTCCCCCTTTTCCTCTTCCTCCTCTCCCCCTTCTCCCCCTCATACTTAAACTTTAGAGCCTATTATTTATATCTCACCTTTCCAGTGCTTAAAGGTGGCTTATAAAAAAAGAGGGAGAGTGACTTTTTACATGGAGAGATAGAGTTGGGAAAAGGGGAATGGTTTTAAACTGAAAGAGGAGAGGTTTAGGTGGGATATTGGGAAGGAATCCTTCCTGGGAGGGTGGGGAGGCCCTGGCACAGGTTGGGCAGAGAAGCTGTGGCTGCCCCTGGATCCCTGGAAGTGTCCAAGGCCAGGTTGGAACAATCTGGGATGGTGGGAGGTGTCCCTGCCCATGGAACTGGATGAGCTTTAAGGTCCCTCCCAACCCCAACCATCCTGGGATTCCCTGATTCTGTGTCTTCTGGGTTTCCCTGTTTATTTTTCATCTGCCCTGACTCAGAAATCTGTCAGTTGATGATCTTTGAGGTCCCTCCCAACCCAAACCATCCTGGGATTTCCTTCCTTTCCTTAGACCAGGAATGTGGTCCATTGGAAGTGTAACTCGAAATCCCACCTTGTTTGCCTGTACCCTTCCTATGCCTATGGAATGTGCTGCCCTATTCTACACTAATATCACTTTTCAGCACTTAAAACACCTGACCTGAAGCATCCTGTGGATGAAAGAGGGAGGCAACACATCAAACTGTATTTTTGACTTTTTTATTTTGTGCTTTCCTTGCTTATTTGTATGTGGTGCTGTGAATTTTTGAGGGAAAACTGAAAGAAATGCTTTTTTTTTTTTTTTTCCCCTGGGGCTTGGAGACTGATTTTTACATGATTTTGGTTTGGAGAAACAAAGGGTGTTGTCAGTGATGTTAAATAGAACGTTCTGGTAGCAAATTCAGCGTGTGGAGGGGAGAAGTTGTGTTCTGCTGAGCCTCATAAATCCAGGGGTAATGTCAGACTTCACAACTAAATGATCTGAGAACTTGGGAAGCTTTGCTGGAAAAAAAAATGTTGTAGCTTGGAGGGGAAAAAAAAAAGACAGATAAAGATATGATTGTGCAGGAACAAAAAGAAAAAGGACTAATTAGTCACGTTTGTCATCGTTTGGAGGTGTTAAATACATCAAAACAGCTGAGGGGTGACAGTGGAAAGCTAAAACCTTCTAAATGTTTGGGGAATGGGTTTGTTCAGCCTTAAATGTGCAGTGTTGGTAATGCCAGGGGAGGATTTGGAAGGAAAAGGGATTTCCAAGAGGTGGAGAGAAGAGGTGGAGAGCCTGGATGGGCTTCCTGGGACGAACAGGTTTTGTTAAAATTGACATTAAATCTCCTCAGAAACCAGGGCTCATTAAATGCAGTGTCTCCCCCTCTGGAAGGTGACACCTCCCCAGGGTCAGCAGCAAATTCCCTGGAGCACCTTTGGCTCATTTTCCATGGGGCTGGAATGGTTTCTGTGGAGCCACGAGGAGCTGGGTGGGAGCAGATGCTCAGGTTTCAACCAACATCATCTTCCCAACACTGGTTTGATTTTCCCAACCTGGTGACCTGCAACTCCTTAAATCCTTCTGCAACTTTCTAATTCCTTCTGCAACTCTGTAATTCCTTCTGCAACTCTTAATTCCTTCTGCAACTTTCTAATTCCTTCTGCAGCAGTGATGGGAATGAAGCTACACTTGTGTCTCCCCAACCCGGGATTGTCTCAACCCTCGGTGTCTCCCGGTGTTCCCTTTGCTCCCTTGGAGCAGCTGGGAGCTGGAATAACATCCCATGAAGGGGTGGGATTATTGGGGTGTCCTGTGCAAGGCCAGGAGCTGGATTAAATGATCCTTGGGGGTCCCTTCCAGCTGAGGATATTCCATGATTCTGTGATAAAACACACCAAGCATTTTTCCACGTGGAAAAATGAAACCACTCCATGTTTTTTTGCCAGGATTTCCCATCCTGTGCCTGGACCAAGCCTGAGCTCCTGCCCAGCTCCTGATGGAGGAGATGGAAAATCCCAGATCCATTTAGAAACCCCCCTGCTCCCGGGGCTTTTCCCTGGGCTACAACAGGGATATTTGAAGCTCCATGGTGGGAGAAGCTTAATTTACATGTTCCTTCCTTAATGACCAGGCTCTCCTGCCTCTTGGAGATGATTGCTTTGGGATCAGAGGTGAGGTGGGTGATGCCTCCTTTGGGCTGCAGGGAAGCAGATTCCCTGAAGGACTCTCCAATTCCTGTTATTCTTGGAGAGAAAGGTGCTCCAGCTCAAAGCAGATCCGTTGGGGAGCAGCCGATATCCCGCTTTTTTTTGGGGGACACCCCATGTAAGGTTTGAGTTTAACATCTAAATTATGTCCATGAGCTCTCCCTGCTTTGGTCTGAGGATGAAACACAGAAGAATTGTTCTAATTGATGGAAATCCTGCAATTCCCTCGAGGAGATGATGCTTCAAATGACCCCTGATCCGACACCTCGGAGAGGGATCGAGCGCTGAGACCTCTCCTGGGCTGGGTTTTAAGGAGTTCAGGGGAGTATTTGTGGTGTCTCAGCTCTTTGCTGAGCTCTTCACTTATCTTCTGGCACCTTTTTGGGGTGAAACAGTGTGAATATAGGAATTCTCAAGGGTTTTTATCCCAAATATTTGCCCTGAAGTCCCCACCTTGGAGGTGTCCAAGGAAGGACTGACCGTGGCACTCAGTGCTCTGGGCTGGGGGACAAGGCAGGGACGGGTCAAAAGTTGGATTTGATGACCTTGGAGGACTTTTCCAACCCAAATAATCCTGGGATTCTGTAGATAAGGAGCCTTCTGGAGGCACAACCGACCTTGGGAGTGCAGCAAGGCCGCGTTGTTCCGGAGGGTCCTGCCAGGATTTGTTGGATTGAATTCCCTTGGATTCTCTTTTGTGGGAACAGTAAAACTCCTGCTCCAACCCCTCCCCAAAGCTGGACTTTGCCTTTGGGATCTCCAAAGGTGATGCCAACGTGACCTCTCTTCCCTGGGGATATAAAAATGTGGGATATTAAGTTTGAAAACAAAGCTTTGCTGCAGGGAAACCCCAAAACCCCTAAAATCAGGCCTTATTTTGGGGTCTGGAGAGCTGCAGGGGAGCTTGGCTTCCCAAAGTGGGAATCCATTGCAATCCCAAAAAGTCTAGGATGAGGTTTGCCAAGTGTTTCTTGGATTCTGGAAGTTTTGGGAGGATTTGCTTAAAACCTGAGCTCCTGCTTTTGGCAACTGTTCCATGAAGTTGATCCCAAGAGCCAACAGGAGCTGAGTTGTGTCCAGAGTTGTGGCCTGGAAAAAAAGGAGAAAATTCCCTTATTTTCCAACATTTAGCTTTAAAAAACTCCAATTTTTTTTCCCTGGCTGCTCAGTGAGAGGTTGAACACCTGATTAGGTTCCCTGAGGAGAGACCTCCCAAATTTTGGGCTCCTTCTCCATTTTAAAGGAGAGTTGGGACTTCACCTGGATCCATCCCAGAGATTTTTCTCCCGGTTTTTCATGGAATATTCTCTTGCCCTTTTCTCCAGAGCACCCAATTCTGATTTCTGCTGCCAACAAGATGCATCCCCAGGGTGTATATTTTGATTTTTCTTTTCCCTTCAGCTGTTTTTTTTTTGGCCAGGTAAGTGCTTTGTGTCCCTCTCCAGCACTTTTCCATGAGCAGGATTCCCAAATTCCTGCCTGGAGAAGGATCTCCCACAGTAAAAAAAGAAGGAAAACAGGGAAAATTTGCTGCTGCTGCTCATTTCTCTCCCTTCATACCCACAGCAGAATTATTAACTCAGAAAAGTGACTGTTTTTTTATCCTCTTTACGCCAGTTGTGTCTTTATATTTTTATATGTGTGTGGTTTATGTGTCTTTTATATTCTTATTTTTTTTAATAAAGGGAGAGCTGACATAAATGCAAAATAAAAAATGAACAGCTTATAATTCTCCTCATCAGGTTTGCTTTGTCTTTGTGGGACACTGTTTATAACAACGTTAAAAGTCACTTTTTGTTATTATTCTTCTCATCCCTTTCTAAAAATAACTTCTGAAATGCTTTGACTTGTGCTGGTTGTTTTGGGGCAGGAGAGGTTTGGGGGGAACCTGGAATTCTACAAAAATTTCATGGAGGGATCTTAATTATTACTATTTTTATTAATGGATTTTCTGAATGTTTTAAAGCTCTTAAAATATTTAAAGAATTTAAAGAATTACCAAAAGGAAGCACCTGGAGTGACTTGGGTTGTCACCAGGCCTTCCAAAATCCAGGGTTTTATCCTTCTTTTTATCTTGTTCATGGAAAAGTTCATGTTCCTGCTTCTCAAATCCCACTGTTTTGACTCGGAATAAACTTGCAGTTGACGTGATGCAAAAAAACCCACCCAACCCTTGCTAAAAAATGGTAAAAAAAAAAGCTGTTTTAGCACTTCCTCTTCGGGTTCCTCCCGTGACTTTCACCAGCTCAGGGGCTCAACTGGGCTCGAAAACACGAACTGAAAATAAACCAGGTTTGAATTTCACCTTTCTGAGCTCTCAGGCTTCGTTTTCACCACTTTAAATGGATTTAATCTCCCGATTCTCAGGGGCTAAAAGGCCACAATTAATGCTGGGTTCTGGTAAAACATCTCTGAAAGTGAGTTTATGTCCCACCCTCGGGGTCAGGGGGTTGCAAGTCGTGTTTTGTCTGTTTTTTGTGCTGGTTTTGGTATTTTCTGAGCTGATCTTTTTGTTGCTGGGGTGGGTTTTTTCTTTTCCAGAACCTTCCTGCTCAGCCTGGTGCTTTTTCCTGGTTTAATTTCTTGGGTTTTTTGGAGTTCTGGGCTCACTGATGGGCTGAACACAGGATTTGGTGGCTCCTTGATGATTTGAAGGGAGGAATACTAAAAAAACCCTAAATAATAAAAAAAAAATATATTTTTAATAGTATAATTTATATTATATAATATATAGTGTATATAATATAATAAAAATATAATTATTTTATATAATAAAAATATATCTATGAAAAAAAATTTATTTAGTGGGTTTTTTAGTATTTTTTAGTATATATATTATATACTAATATATATAATATATATATTATATATCTTATATATAGAATATATAGTGTATATATATAATATAATATATATAATAAAATTAGTAAATCATACTAATAAAACAATAATAATAATAAATAACTAATAATACTAATAAAATACTAAAAAAAAAACAGAAAAATCAGCTCCAAATCCTGTGCTGTTAAAACCAAACAGGAGAGCAATAAATCAGAATTACCAAAACATGGGAAAACTGGGAATTCTCTGAGAAAAACCAGGGCTTGGGATTCAAGAGAACATCAAAAAATCCCCTTGTGCTTCGAGCTGCTGTTTGCAGGTTGATGCTCAATCTGCTTTTTTTTTCCCTCCTCAGTCCCACAGAACAATGAGAAGCTTCAGGAAAGTCCGTGTATTTTTGCATTAACCCCCAGACAAGTGGAGCTGATCAGAAATTCCAGGTATTTTCTCCTCGGGTATCGAGAATCCAAGAAAACCCAGCTGATAATTCCCGTAATTCCACAGCAGTTCCCTCCTGGTGGAAGCTTTTGTTCTCTGCCAGGATTTGTTGGAGGCCCAGAGCTTTGGTGGAAGGCACAAATTTACCCCTTAAATTTGCCTTTTGCTCCTCCAATCTCCCTTTTCCACGGGGCAGGAAAATTGGGAATAAATCCTGGATGACCCGGAGCTCGTACTGCAAATATCTGCAGGTTTTTAGGGTTTTTTTTTCCCCTCTTGCAGCCCAAGTTCAAAAGCCAGACTTTAAGTCTTAGTTTGCATTTGAAAAGAAGCTTCCTCAGTTGGGAAGGATGCAATGGGAACTGCTTGGAAAAAGGAAAACAGCTTGGATTAGGATTTTCCCTGACCTCTGTCACATCCAACTTTGGATTCCAACAATGAGGCTCCTCAGAGGTGACAGGGGGGTTTCCTCTTGGCTGACCTGCTCCCTTGGGCCTTGATGCACAAGAATTCCTCCCAAAATGAGGCATAAAACCTTCCCTTATTTCTCTTCATGCTAAAAAGAAACATGTTTAACATATATTTATGTTAAAGAGTCGGAATGTCTCCAATATCCTGGTTGTTGTGGGTTAACAGAAGGGGGAAGCTGTTGGAAAACTTCACAGGAAGGGATTAAAAGACCATGGGATTCTTTCAGGGGGGATAAAAAAACTGCTGGTTCTTGATGCTTTTTTCTCCCCATCTTCAGATTTGGGGGGAAAAAACTGTCCCTGTTGAGTAACAACTCCAACATTTCTGGGAGTCTGAAATGCTCACACAGGTCCAGCTTTAGGTGTGATGTCCCCACACCTAAAACTGCCTCTGTCTGTCCAGGTTTCATCCCTTCCATCCCCAAAATTTATCCTAAAACACCAAATTGCAACGTGAAATACTCTCAGAGGCAAATCAAGACTAATTTAGGGATTTTCCCTAAAATCTTGAGTTTTGTGCAGGAATTAGAGGATGTTTTACACCCCTTTTGCCCCCTAATAAAATCCCTTTGTTCTGCACATCCGTGACTTTCCTGATTCCACGTCCAATCCTGTCAGGAATGGCCCTGCTGAAGGTTGGAATATTCTCAGAGGTGCCATAACACTCAGTCCCTTGGTTTGCATGAACAGCTTTAGCTGAATAATTAAACACAGGGAGTCTGGAACACTGGCAGGTAAAACCTGACCTTAAAACCCAGTTTTTTAGAAATTCTCCCAAATCAGCAGAAGGGAAATGGAGACTTTTCACCTGAAGAGTTTTAAAAGCTGTAGGTTGGTGCATTAAGCAAAAATACTAATTATAATAATTACAGAACTCCTGATATTTGCAGGGGGAATTGTACAATTTAAATAAAGGTCTGTGAAGTCATTTTTTTAAAGGAATATTTAAAAATTAAGAAGGAATGAAGCTCTTGAGTCTGGTAAAATTGACAGTTGGGTTGGGTGGGTGTTTGTTTTTTGGTTTTTTGGGGTTTTTCACATAATTAACCTGAACTTTCTGTTTCTTTAATTTTCCCAGGGAGTTGCAACCCGGAGTGAAATCAGTTCAGGTGGTGCTAAGGTAGGTCTGGGCATGGGGGTTTGATTTCCAAACTCTAAAAACCCAGGAGAGATTGGAAGATCCTGCGGAGGCAGGAAGGATTCCGGAGGGGCGACTTCACACCGGGGGAGGGAGGGAATATTCCATCAAAAGGCAGCCACAGTTTTCCATGTGGATTTTGTAGCTCCAAAGATAATTCCCAGGGAGCTGTAAAGAGCACAAAGAACTCTCTCAAGCCTCTTAAACTCTGTTTTTTGACCTCCTCTTGCGTGTCCTGCTGGAGTTGGTGCTGGAGAAGTGTCCCATGTGCCCTCCCAGCTGCCACCCCTGGATTGGCTCCGCTGTGGGATTGGGATGGGGATGTTCAGGGCCATTTGGACAATTTGGAGGTGTTCAGAATTGTGCCATTTCTTTCCAGAATCTGCTACACAGACACCAGTTCTCCTCAGGAGGATCAGTACCCTCCCAACATCGCCGTGAAGGTGAACCACAGTTACTGCTCCGTGCCGGTAAGGATTTGTGGGATCCGCTAAGGATTTGTGGGATCTGCTAAGGATTTGTGGGATTCGGAAGGGAATTGATTTCCCCCTGAATGCCAAGAGTTATAAAAATGCCCCTGCTCAGTTTAAAGCTAATTTTCTGGTGGTTTAGCCTTGTTGTTAATGAAGTTCTGTAAAAAACTTCAATTCTTCTGCTTCGTGCTCTGACCATTCAGCTCCATGTTTTCCCCTCCATCCTTGAGAACTGAGTGGAATTTAGTGGAGCTGACCCTGTGTGGGAGTAAAAGATGAATAAATATATTTAATCCTTCTGCCTCAGGGCTACTACCCCTCAAACAAACCCGGAGTGGAACCCAAAAGGCCCTGTCGTCCCATCAACCTCACGCACCTCATGTACCTGTCGGCGGCCACCAACCGCATCACGGTGACCTGGGGCAACTATGGCAAGGTGGGTGCCAAGGGAATCCTCCAGAATTCCACAGGCAGGGTGGGAGAGCAGCCCTGGCTCACCCTCTGCCTCCCCTCTCTCCTCAGAGCTACTCGGTGGGGCTGTACCTGGTGAGGCAGATGACCTCGGCAGAGCTGCTCCAGAGGTTGAAAACCATCGGGATCAAACACCCGGAGCTCTGCAAAGCACTTGGTGAGTCCCTCTGGCTCCAGGAATCCTGGAATCAGAGAATCAGACGGGTTGGAAAAGACCTCTGAGATCACATCAAGTCCAACCCTTGATCCAACCCCGCCGTGGTTCCCAGCCCATGGCACTGATGCCACATCCAGTCTCTTCTTAAAAACCTCCAGAGATGGAGAATCCACCACTTCCCTGGGCAGCCCATTCCAATGGCTGATCACCCTCTCTGGAAAGAAATTCTTCCTAATATCCAACCTAAACCTCCCCTGGCACAGCTGAAGACCCCGAGCCCTCTTGTCCTACTGCTGCTTCCTGGGAGAAGAGACCAACCCCCCCCAGCTCCCCCCTCCTGTCAGGGAGTTGCAGAGAGTGAGGAGGTCTCCCCTGAGCCTCCTCTTCTCCAGGCTGAACAGCCCCAGCTCCCTCAGCCTCTCCTCACAGCACTTGTGCTCCAGTCCCTTCCCCAGCCTCGTTGCTCTCCTCTGGACCTGCTCCAGCCCCTCAATGTCCTTCCTGAGCTGAGGAGCCCAGAGCTGGACACAGCACTCAAGGAGTGGCCTCACCAGCGCTGAGGGATGTCTCTGCTGGAACTTCACAGAATCCCAGGATATGCTGGGTTAGAAGGGACCCCCAAGGATCATCCAGTCCAACCCTGCACAGGCCCATCCCCAAGAGTCACACCCTATGCCCCAGAGGATCCTCCAAATGCCCCTTGAGTGCTGTGCCCACTGCCCTGGGGAGCCTGTTCCAGCACCCAAGCACCCTCTGGGGGAAGAACCTTTTCCTAAGATCCAAGCTAACCCTCCCCTGGCACTCCAGACCATTCCCTGGGGTGCTGGCAGTGGGCACTGCCCCTGCTTGGGAGCAGCTGCCACGTTTGATACCTTTTCCTTTCAGTTTTTCCCTGACCAGTCTCACAGAGCTCTGAGGTTCTCCTAAACTTCAGAGGATCTTCTCATTCTCCTGACACTTCAGCTGAGCACTGGGAGCCATTCCCTCAGAGCCAGCACTCCCAGGATGGCCTCTGGAGCTGGGAGTGGCAGGCAGAGGTTCTCCAAGCAGCTCTCCTGCCTTTTCCACAGGCCTGTGCCTCCAGTTTTACTGAGTCAGGAACTTCAGGGCAGAGATCAGTTCCATTTGATGGCTTTAACCAAGCAGGGATGTTGTCTTATTCCTGTCCCTTGGGTTTGGCTTCTTGGAAGTTGTTGGACATCCAGAACTTTGCTTTCATTGCTCTGATCTGTTCTGTGAGTGATTCCCTGTCACTTGAGCTGCCCTTTGGCTTTGGTGGCATCTCATTGCTGACTCATCTTCCTTTGCATAAAAAAACCCTGTTGAGTTTAGTACAGGAACATTTTCTAAGAACAGAGATCGTGGCTGTGCATCCAAAACACCTCAATCCTGATCAGGAGATCCTAGAAAAAAAAAACAACATTTCTTCTTCCTGTGTCTCCCGAGTTATTGATGCTCTGACAAAGAACTTCATAAAAAAATTAAGCTGGGATGAAAAGGCTCCTAATGGGAAGAAAACAACCCCAAATCTTGTAATCTCCTGGAATTTCACATGTGAGAAGTCACTCTGTAATTAGAGCTGTCTGGAGACATCTCGTTATGATCTGAAAAGGTCAAAAGAAATGGGTGACTTGCTCCAAAGGAAAATGATGATGGAAGTGTCAAAGGCCATTGCAGGCAGCAGTGGGAGCAGCAGGTCCTCCTCAGGATTTGGGGAGCAGTTTAAAGCTCATTTTGTTGATTTTTTTTTTTGCACCTTGGTGTGGAACCTGCCTGTCTGCTGCTCCCTTTGATTGCCCTGCAGCTCCTCTGGGTTTTCCTCTTGGGGTGCAGCAGCAGGGGAGGGAGCCCTCCTTTCCTAACATCTGATCCTTCCCAAATATATCCTGGATGGCTGCTGGGAGGGGTTTTTCCATGGCTGCCTTGCTCTAAGCTGGGAACCTCAAGGTCTTTTGGTGTTCCTGGGAAACATTCTGCTGGAATAACTGACCTGGGCAGAGTAGGAGCTGAAGAGCTGCAGTGCTAAGAGGTGATGGAGAAAATGATGGGATGTGTTTACTCTCAATTTGACTTTATCCCTGGTTTCTGACCAGCTAAGCCTAAACTGACTTTGCTCCTGAAGTCTTGCCACGAGCTGGAGCTGAATCCATCCCCTCCTTCCCTCCCTGGGAGGGAAAAGGACTCGTGCACAGCCAAGGGCTGTGGGTGAGCTGCTCCTCCTGTGCTCCACCTTGTTTCCAAGGTTGGAATTTGCAGCTGTTCAATGTTGTGCCCTCTGCTCTCCCTGCAGTGAAGGAGAAGCTACGCCTGGACCCGGACAGTGAAATCGCCACCACGGGTGTCCGGGTGTCCCTCATCTGTCCGGTGAGTCCGGGTGTTCCCATGGGATCAACCTGGTTTGGGTTGGAAGGGACCTTAAAGCCCATCCAGTGCCACCCCCTGCCATGGGCAGGGACACCTTCCACTAGCCCAGGTTGCTCCAACCCAGCCTTGGACACTCCCAGGGATGGGGCAGCCACAGCTTCGCTGGAAAATCCATTTCACAGCCTCGCCACCCTCCCAGGGGAGAATTCCTTCCTGATATCCCATCTCACCCTGCCCTCTGGCACTGGGAAGCCATTCCCTGTGTCCTGTCCCTCCATCCCTTGTCCCAAATCCCTCTCCAGCTCTCCTGGAGCCCCTTTAAGCCCTGGAAGGTGCTCTCAG